GGGGACAACCCCCACCATGAGCCTGGGGGGACAAGGTGCAAGAGCCAGAGGATGCTCTGGCATGGCCCTTGCCCTGTTCCTTCTTCCACGTTAAAAACTAAAGCAACCAGAGATGCCAGGCGTGTTAGCAGAGATGAGAAAGAATCCTCAGGGATCTCTGCCAGGATCACATCATTCATGGTGCTCCTGTGAGCACCATCTTTACACCCCATGCACCCCAAAATCTCACAGCCCCTTCTCCTCCACCCCCAGCCCAGCAGAGCTAAGGCACTGCAGAGTCACCTTAATGAGCTCCACCATCTTCTTGGCCTGGGTGATGGTGACTGCCAGCTCCTGCAGCTCATTCTCTGCATCGCTGAGGAATTTGGCTTGTTGGGCCTGCAGACATGAAGGACAAACACTGAGCTTTACCCCCAGTCCCAGTGGGAGCCAAAGGGCACTCAGCCTCTCCTTAAGCTCGTTCCACAGACCCTCTCTGACAGTGACCTTGCTACCAGGCTTCAGGTGAAGGATGCAAGGGGAATCATGAATTGTTGTCCTGTTTTCCTTCCCTGCAACATCCAACCTGCAAACATCCCTTCTCACTCAGCTGGGAAATGAAAGGGTCATGTCCAGCTCCATATTCCCCACCCTGGTCCCAGCGGAAACCAAACAAAACAGGAATTGGAAAGCAAACTCATCAGGCAGTGATTGCAGCTAAGGGAGTGCTCTTAGCGAGTATCCAGGGCTGAGAAAAATCCATCTGGGTTTGGTGAAGAAGCTGAAAGGCAAACCTGCAGCACCCAGAAACTCAGCACAGAGTCCCCACGAGGTTTCTGTTTAGGAGCAAAGCAAACCAGCTCCGGAGCGCGGGCTGCAAAGGAAGCACCTTCGGAACACGGCGTTTCCTGAGATGCTATTGTTGGCTCAGCCATTGCCCATCACGAGGACGGGTCCCTCGGGAGCCAGGAGGGCACTCCCCATCCCCGACAGCTCCCTGCTGATGCTCAGCCCCCTGGGCACCCACAGGTGCTTTCCCCGAGCACCCATCCCAGCCCGCAGCGCGGGGTGGTGGCCGAGGGCAGTCACAGAGGTCCTGCAGGCGACATTGAGCAGCGCCTGCCGAGGGCTGACAGCTCCTCGGGGCTGGGATTACACACGCTTTCTATTTTAAGGCACCTCATGACTAATAGTGCCGATAAAAGGGTTTTCCTGCAATCTTTGCAGCCCGTCAGGAGGGGGAGCTGGCCTGGGGCTGCTGCTGCTTGGGGCTGGGCTCCTCCTTGGAAAAGGCAAACTTTCCCAAGGTCTCCAAATGCCTCATGGCCATGCGAGATGCCACCACACCGTGAGCCCCACAAGTTCCCATCTGCCTGCAGCCCCACAGGAGCCCCACACTTTCAAGGCAGCAGTGCCCAGGAAGGCGGCACCACGTTGGGACTGGAGCCCCGGCTCCTGGGAAGACTCGTGGGCGTGAGTTTAGGAGGTGACTCAGTCACATCTGGGAATGGGAGTGATGGAAAAACCCCCGCTGCCAAAAGGGCAGGATACAAAAGGCTGGGGGAGCGGGAGCGGCGGCCGGGCCGGCTGCCAGCGCGGGCAGAAAAAGCGCCTGACAGAGCTGTGGGAACGAGACGGGGACGGTGACCGCCCCAGGACCGCGGGGGTGGCCGCTGTGGGGTGTCCCAGGCAGCCTCGCCCCAGCCCTACACCCACGGGATTGCGAGTTGGGCTCCGCAGCGGGAAGACTCCCCACGGGATGCCTGACAGCGCCTCTGCCCCATACCCATCCCCACCTGCCCATCCTGCCCCAACCCCAGCGGTTCCCTGATGGTGCAGCACCCTGTGGTCTCACCCCGAGGGGTGAGAGTACAACACCCCCCGCCACATGGCATCCCATCAGGGCTGCACCTGCACACACCCCACGTGGGGACTGGGCTCCCCGTGAGGACCTGGGCGCAGGATGGCACCCACCACACCCCCGCCCCAGGGTCCCACCCGCAGCACCCGCGTGGGCACCCCGCGCACCTGCTTGTGCTCCCGCTCCTGCTCGAGGGGCACCACGTCGTGGGCGCGATGCTCGTGGGTGCGGCAGCGGGCGCACACACAGCTCTGCTCGGTGCGGCAGAAGCCGTCGAGGGGCTGCAGGTGGCGGGGGCACAGCCCCTCCTCCAGCCGGCGCAGCGGGGCCACCAGGCGGTGTGCGCGGAAGGCCGGGGCGCGGCGGTGCGGCTCCAGGTGCGCCCCGCAGAAGGACGCCAGGCACACCAGGCACGACCGCTCGGCCGCCCCGCGGGACTCCGGCGGGCACACATCGCACAGCACCACCGCTCCTCCTTCCTCGCCCGCAGCATCCTCCTCCTCGGCTCCCGGCGCCATCGGGGACGTCGGGGACGCGGCGGCCGAGGGTGACGGGGACGAGGCGCCGGTGGCGGCCGCCAGCAGCGGCAGGAGCTCGCACAGGGCGCGGTTCTTGCAGAGCCGCAGGGCCGCGGGGACGGGCTCCTGGCACAGCGGGCAGCGGGCGGCCCCGCCCGCCCCGCCGCCGTCGGGGGGGCCTGGCCGCTGGCGGAGCTCCTGCAAGCAGCCCTGGCAGAAGTTGTGTCCGCACGGCACCGTCACCGGGTCCCGCAGCACGTCCAGGCAGATGGGGCAGCCGAGCGGACCCTCCGGCAGCCCCGGAGCCGCCAGCGCCAGCCGCAACGCCGCGGCGGAGGACGACGGGGCGCTCCCGGGCGCAGCATCCATCCCTAAACGCCCTGACCGGCCCCGGCCCCGCTCCCAGCCCCGGCGGAGGCGGGCGGCAGCCGCGCCCCGCCCGCCCGCTCCGCCTCCCCGCGACCGCAGCCGGGGCTCCGCTCGCCGCGGGGCTGCTGTGCCCTCGGGGCACCGACCCACAGCATCCACCCCGCCGTTCTGGAAAGCGTCTCACCCCACAAGGGATCTGCTCCCATCTGCTCCCTGTCCCTAGCATGGGCTGCCTTCAGGGAGTCCCGGGGGGATGTCACCCTGCTGAGGATGTGCTGATCCCCACCCACGGTCTCCTAAAGGATCTGCCTCGCTGGGATCTGGGCCCTCCGCAGCGGTCTGTTGCTCCCAAGGGAAGCTGCTGACCTTCCCCAAATCTCCCATCTGTTGCCAGCCCATTCCAGTCCCCCTCCCAAGGACCTGCTGCTCCCTTTGAGCATTCCTTCCCCCTCTAGGACCTGCTGCTACTCCACTGCTCCGCAGGTGCTCCCCACCCTGGGGCCACATGGAAGGTCCTGAGCCCCCCCAGCGCATAGGTGCAGGTGTTTTCCTGCCAGCCCTCGTGTCCATGGACCTACATCAGCCCTCCCCATGGCCAAAAAGGCCTGCAGTGCCCAGGTCCTGGCTCAGTCACTGTCCCCTTCTCCTCTGGGGTCTGGCAGAAACTGGCAGGCACCAGAGAGGGCTGGGAGACCCCAAAGTGCTTTTAGAGTGAAGATCTGCCTCGTGAGATCTCTGGACGGCTTCTGTGCAGGATACACAGACAATTTTTGGACTTGGATAAGTTCCCAGGTGCATGCTGGCCCAAGGCCTCACCCAAGGACAGGGCTGCGAGGAGCAGGGAGGTGTTGAGTGAAGCAGGAAGCACAAGACAAATAAAATATGTTCTTGAAGAAGGGGATTGAACCTTTTAAGCTTGTTGTCCCCAGAGTTTAAAATGATGTGATTCATTCCTCAGCCATTCACATCCCCAGCACTTTTGAATCCAGTGCCCAGTTTCACCCTGTTAATTCTCACCAGCACTCCCACAGGAGCGGGAGGAGACTTTGGACCTGCAGTCTCACCCTTGGAAAAACATCAATGAAAACGTTGGATTTTCTTCCCTGCCAAATCAACTTTGGAGCAGAGCAGTAGGAAACCAGGTTTCCTTATCACAGTGCTACAGTAAATAAAGCACCTTCTGGCTCTGCTGGTCACTCGTAAGCCCCATGGGGACAAGGAGGGGCAGGATGGGGCCCTTCAGGGATGGCTGAGAGAGCAGGGGTACCCAGCTCCCCTCACCCCCATTGCTGCAGGGTCCCACACCTCCCAACAGCAGCAAGGTCAAACCAGTAAGAAAATAAAGCTTTATTGGGAAAAGCAGCATTGTACAAAGAGCTGCAGTGTAGAGCCCTGAGAAGTTGCTCTGACAGGTCTGAGAACAGCAAGAGGAAACCAAGAAGGGGCTGGGGGAGCAGGACCTGCCTGCATGTGAGGCTGTGTGAGCACAGAGGCCCCTCCAAATTGTTTCAGAGCACCCTGTGGCAGTAGCACCTCCCTCTGGGGTCCCCCTCATCCCAAACCTTCCCTGAGTTTGGGAGTTTGGCAGTGATAGAAGAAAGAGGAAAATCTCTTTTTTTTCACCCTCCTTATCCCTTATTCCCTCGCTGTGCCTGCAGGGACAGGCACCCATGGTGAGCTCCAGCCCTGCTATGTGTCACTAGTGTGATATTTGCATATGCAAATCAAACAGGTTAATTTACATGTCTGTCCCCATCAGCTCTTGTTAAACACTGCACTCCACACGTGTCTGAGCACTGAGGTCCCACTGCACCAGGACAGCCTCAGCTGCAGCTCCACTTTGGCACCAGCCTGGACTTGCCAGCTTTGCTATGGCTGTGGCTCAGTGCCTCTAGCACAGCGTCACCACTCGCCCCTCACACAGCCAAAACACGGGGTACAGGGGCTCAGTGAAGACACTGTGGAAGGAGTGGATGAGTTTTGTCTTCTCCCCGAGACCGTAGAAGGAGAGGAGCCCCTTGCCATAATCCAGGCTGACCCCCAGGTTCTTATAGAGCTGCTCCTGGATTTTCTGGGCGTGGCCCTTGTGCCAGGCCAGGTAACAATCCTCCCTCACCTGCAGCCCCCACGAGCCCCCGTCCAGCCCGATGTTGAAGCTGTGACCCTGTTGCTGCTCCTGGGGGAGCCCCCGGTAGGTGACCCCCAGGATGACAGAGTGGCTGGAGATCTTCACCTCCCAGTAGTGGTGGCCGGGGCCGTAGCTCTGTGTGCACAGCACCTGCCAGGGCTCGAAGCGGGGGCCCTGCCCCTGCCCAGGGACAGTGCCAGCACCGTGCTTGGCTTTGCGGGCACCTTTGGACAGCTCCAGGTACTTGTTGGCTGTCTCGGGGTCAAAGGTCAGGTTGCGGTGGTCTGGGGGAAGCAAGGGGACAGATGGGGCTGAAACGCTTCATCAGACCTTTATGCCCTCCCAGCAGTGGTGGGGTTTAAATTCTGTAGGTCTGGCTCCCAAAATGGATGAGAACAGGGTGTTTGGAGGGGAAGGGTAGTGGGGAGGATGCAACACCTGCCCTAAAGGGAATGGAAAAGCTCAGGAATAGCTCTTGAGGCACTGAGACACAATGTTTTGCAGTTCTTGCACAACCCAGCTCACAGCCGAGTGGCCATTGTGAGCACAGTGGCTCTGTGGCCATTTTGGAAGGGATGTGCTTGATTTTAAGAGGAAAAAGTACCAGTGTGGGGAGAAAACCAGGTGTTAAGTGAGTAAATATGGTAGTGCAGGGAGTTACTCTCCTCTGCATGGGCTGTGATAGCTCCTGCTGTGGGCATTCCCTGGCCACCAGCAGCCCACCTTTCTCCCTCAACACCTGGGCCTGGCAGCTGGCTGGGCTCCTGCCTGCTGCCCATAAATAACAGGGGGTTCTTATTAATAACCCTAAGAATGTTCCGTGGGGCCTGATGGAAGGAATTCCTACAGGCAGCGATTGACTCCTTGGCAAGAGTGACATGACCAACATGGCCTGAACATCACCCAAACCTCTTCCCAACAGGGAGGAGGTGGGAAGAGGAGCACAGAGGAATTTCCTAACAACAGGGGATGGCTGGCCTGGGGAGGAAAGGGGACGTGAAGGACTATAGCTAAGAATGCTGAGGCCATATTCCTGGACAGAGAGCAATGACTGCAGGCAGGGCTCTGGACTGGGGCTATGCCATGCAGGGCAGTGACTGATCCAATACCAGACAGCCTCAGTTCCATGGGAAAGCAATTCCTGGTGCTCCTAATCCCCCTAATGGGTCCTTTCCCATCCCAGCCCATCCACCCTGACCCTAGACCACCCTTCTCTGCATTTAGGGAGACACATTGGAAGAACCAGGGAAGGAGCTCCTGTCCCTGCAGCCACAACCACCCTCCTCCCAGGAAGGAGCCTGGCTTGGTGGCATCTCTTTGTGCTGGGTACCCCAGTGAGGTGCTGTCCCCTCCAGGCCCCCTGTGCTCCTTACCCTTCAGAAGCTCAGCTCGGAGCTGGCACTTGGGGAGAGGGTCCACAGCCTTCACCACCAGCTCCTGAGGGTGCACTGGGCCTGTGGAGGATGGGAACAGGCATCTTGAGTAATGCCACCCAGAAACTTATTTCTTCCTGGCTTCATGGGAAGAAAAGGAGAAGGAGGAGGAGAAGGAACTCCACTGTATCCACACCTGGGAGCAGGCATGTGCCACCATGGTTCAGCATTCCCAGCAAGGAGGGGCCACAGGGAAGCCACCCAGCTCATCCCTCTTCATCTGCTGACCAGTAAATGTGTGTCCCACCCCAAACCCCTGTGCCCAGCAGCTGTGTCCCCAGCAGTGACACAGGCCAGGCTCATCTTCAGGATGACTCGGAGCCTTTCAAAGCACCCCTGAGAGCAGGAGGGTTACCTTGGCCAGCAGGGTTGGGGGCTTTGGGGGCCACACAGGCAGGCAGGTCCTCTAGCAGGAGCCTGGAGATGCTGGTGAGGATCTCAGAGATGGGCTTGATCACAGCAGCCACATCAAACTCCACGGGGACCAGCACCTCTGGGCTCTCCAGAGGTGGGAACAGGGGGAACTCCTGCAGACAGACACACAGACACCATGCACCAGTCTGGGGAGGACTGTGCAAACCCATTTGCACTCATCATGTCTCCCCAGTGGGCAACATGGGCATCACAGCACTGCCCACACAACTTTTCAGAGACCCCCAAAAAACAACTCTTTCCCACAGCCCCAGCACACCCCTGAGCCAAACTGAGGGTGCATTCCCAGTGGGAATGGGTTGGACATGATTCTGCTGTCATCAGAAGGGTGCAGGCCCAAGCAAAGGGCAGGACACAAACAGTGCCAGAGTGGTACCTGCAGGAAGCTCCTGTGGTCAGGGCAGGCCAGCAGGCTCTGAGCCTTCTCCATGTGCTGGCCAAGGACATCCAGGCGGTCCTTACACAGGTTCCAGTTCTTGTCCACATGCTCCAGTGCCACCCTCTGCTCTTGCTCAATCCTGGCCACTGTCTGACACTGGAAATCCTCCAGCGCTTTCTTCAGGTGGGTGAATTTGCTCTGAATCCCATCTTTGAGCTCAGAGCAGTCCTGGGCAGGAAGAGCCATGAGAACCAGCATGCTCCCACCCACAGGCCAGCACAGGGAGGCTGCAGTGTTACCTTGATGCTCTCTGTCTGCAACTCCAGCTCCTTCATTGTCTGTTCAATCCTCTCTGATTCCTCCTGGGCTTTTTCCAGGGATTCTTTCAAAAAGGTCTGTGAAGGGAGGCATAGGATTAAATAGAATAGGATAGGATAGGATAGGATAGAATAGAATAGAATAGAATAGAATAGAATAGAATAGAATAGAATAGAATAGAATAGAATAGAATAGAATAGAATAGAATAGAATAGAATAGAATAGAATAGAATAGAATAGAATAGAATAGAATAGTTGGAAAAGACATCCAAGATCATTGAGTTCAACCTGTGACTGAACACCCTCAACTAGCCCACAGCACTGAGTTTCATATCCAGTCATTTCTCCCAGTCATGTCCAGTTGCACATCCTGTGAAACAGCCCACTGCTGCCCTCCTGGCTCCCAGACCCTTCTCAGGGCTGCAGGACAAGGCTAAGAGGGAAGGAGGCAGCTTGGGAAGGGGACTCTTTGTCAGGATAACAAATAAGTAATTTTTTTGTGCTGCCTTTCACCCCTTTTTTAGCTGTTTCCTCTAAATCAGAGGTTAACAAACACATAGCACCGTTCATCTCGTGCTGCTGGATCTACCCAGCTCACTGCTGCTGCCGACAACACCCAGTTTCTCAAGGAGCAGCCGGGCACTGGTGGCACCTCCCTGGCCAGCGCCGTGTCAGTGTGGCACACAGAGGGACATCACGGGGCAGTGGAGGTGGATGTCGCGCGTGCCTGAGCTGTCACAACACCCCTTGGCTTCTCGCATGGCCCCAACCCTGTCACCCACCTGCTTTTTGGCTCTTTCCTCCTCGAAGAGCACCCGCCGGTGCCGCTGGCAGTCCCGGACGGTGCAGATGCAGCAGATGCAGCGCCGCTCGTTCTCGCAGTACAGCTCCAGCGGCCGCCCGTGCTGCCGGCACAGCTCCGCCGGGGCCACCTCGCAGCGACCCGCGGCCGAGCCCCGCTCCTCGCTGTCCCGGGCCAGCTCCACCACGCTGTGCAGGGTGACATTCTTCTTCAGCTCCGGGCACCGCTCGAAGCCCCTGCGGCACTCCGGGCAGCTGCAGCTCCCCTCGGTGCCGGCCGCCTGCTTTTGCTTGTCCCAGTGGTCGCTGATGCAGCGCTTGCAGAAGTTGTGGCCGCAGGGTAAAGTCACGGGCACCCTGAACAGCTCCAGGCAGATGGAGCACACCAGCTTCTCCTCCAGCTTCTGAGACATGGGTGATGCCATCCTGCCGGGGAAATGGAAACTAAGGAGCGCAGAGGAAGACGCGGTGGTGACGCTGTGCCCAGAGGCGGGGCAGGGCTCCCGGCCAGACGCACTCCTTGAAGTGACACCCCGTGGCTGTCCCTGGTCACACTGGCTGTGCCACAGGCTGCGGAGGAAAGGCTGATGTTCCCCGGGGAGAGAGAGGGCTGTGAAGCACGGTGGGAGACTCCGCAGAGGATGGAATGCTGCAGTGACGGCACAAGGAGACACGCGGGAGGCTGACAGGGATCAGAGCAATGTGTATTTCCATGAACACGTCTGCCGGGCACACATCCACGTGCAATTGGATTTTCACTCCTTTATTGCCTTTTGAGGGGACTTCCAGGCATCCTCAGCTCTGCCAGGGCTGGGTCTCTGAGCTGAGCACGGCAGTTCCCCCTGGCACAGAGCCCTCTGTGCAGAGCTCCTGCCTGGGAGCAGCAGAGAGGCACCCACTGCTGCTGCAGCCACATGTCACCTCCCTGTGCCGTGGCAAGGCTGTGACACACGCCAGCACCACGTTCTTCCCTTGAACCACAGCTCCTGCTGTTTGCCATGTCCCCATGCACACCCAGCACACCTTTTCCTACGAACTTCCTTGCAACACCTGTGCACATCAGCACTCTGAAATGCAATAAAGATGCCACCTGGGCCACCTGTTCCTGCTCAGGTGGAGTCTCCTGCCCGGAGGCCAGTGCGGTGCCTGAGCACTGCAAACCTTCCCCTCGCTGTCACACAGTTCAGTTTCAGTTTTCCCAGCCCAAGCCTTATCTCCGTACCAGGCCCATGTGCTATCTTGCTCATGTCCCCAGGTTGCTGGGACAGCCTTTTTTTTCCAGCCTCCCCTCATGAGCAGCTTCCCTTTCACCTGCATAGGTGAGGGCAAGCAGGGAGCAGGTCTCTGGTGGTTCATCCAGACCAGCTTCCATACCACAGGCAGAGCTACCCCCTCTGACCACAGGAGAGAACTCGGGATATGTCACAACTCCCTGCATGTCCCAGCAAGCTTCAGCTCCAAAACACTCCTTTGGGTTGCATCTGTCAATTCTGATGAAATATTTAAAGCCCAGAGAGGCTAACATGACCTGTGTGTCTGCCTGGAACCTGTGTCCCCACCGTGGGCACCTCCCCATTACATTCACCCCAGCTTAGACCCCAGAATCTTTCAGGCTGGAGGGGAATTCAGGGGGCTCTGGAGTAACAGGCTCTTCCCAATAAAGACAGCTTTGCCAGCACTACTCAGAGAGTGTTTAATCAGATTCATCCCTCCAGAAGGACTGCACAAATAAAATCTGACACACTCCTGAACCACAGCACTGTGAGAGGAAGAAATCCAGACTGGCCTGGCTCTCTTTGTTCAATAAACAGGCAAAACGAAAACTGCAATCCTTGCAGGGAAGCAAGGCAGATTGTCTCTGGAGAGATGCAGAATCAGGAGCAAGGTTTCAGCCTGGCCATGGATTCGCTTTGAATGTTCTCACTGAGCAGCCTCTTGACCACGCAGCTGCCAGCTCTGTGCACACCCAACACCAGCTCCCAGCACAGGGGAACTGAGAGCTGAGGGGCTCAGACTTTGTCATTCCCTCCTGAGGCACTGAGGGGAGCACAGGAAATCCAGGAGCCAGCATCCCACGGTCACAGAGGGGGACAGCTCCTAGTAGATGCCGTAGGTGGGCTCCTCTGTGTCTCGGTACCTGTCCAGGTACCTCAGGGGCTGGTGGCGAGGGAACTTCACCTGCGGAGGGTGGTAGGGGGGCGGCCGCACGAACTCGAACACGGGCTCCCTCATGTCTGCAGAGAGTGACAGGGTCACATCTGAGCCCCACGCAGCACCAGGGCTGCTCAGACATGCCCTTGGAGTTATTTTAAAATCCTCAGACAAGGATTAAGAGTTGCTCCTTCAGGCTGCTGTTAGTTTGGAGGAGGATGGCTCAGGAAGGGCTTAGTTTGTGCTGATCCTGGATGAGTGCCAAGACCAAGTAAGAGCCTGCAGCCACAGGGCCATGTCCCACCCACAGACCCCCACCTCTTCAGCATCCCCATTGCTTACTGAGCAGCTGATGGAAGGTGGAAGTGACAGAGCTGTCCCACTGACACTGGAAGAATGCCAGCCCTGCCGGGGTCATGGCATCCTTATGCTTTCTGTAGAAGTCAAATGTACTAAAGGTTCTCATCTTCAGGCTGTAGCTGGAAACAAGACACAAGCACCTGGTGAATCTCCTTGCAGGAGTACCATGCTCCACATCACCCCAGGGCATATGAAAAAGGTGGGGAAAAAGCCACTAAGAGGAAATTTCCCCGTGTCTCCAGCTCCATGCACATTTCTGGGCAGGACAAACCACTCTCTAACAGCCTCTTCTGTAACAATGGGACTCTGCAGTGCTGGGATTGTGGCTGCAGAGGACACACAAACCCAAAGCAGCCCTGGAGAACTCTACAGAGTGACAGGAGCTGCTCCTCTGGTGCAGTGACAGGTACACAAACCCCACAAGCAGCAGCAGCCAAGCCCAGCTCTGCAGTGAGCAGAGGAATTACCATGGTGCTGGCCGAGCGTCCTGGCTGAAGTCGATGGGACCGTGTTGCTTGAAGAGCAGGAAGATGAAGCGGTGGTAGCCCGTCCCCATGGCAGGGAAGGGGGGCAGGTAGTGGCACATCTCCTTACCAGCCTTGATGTCACTGCCTGGGATGTTGGTCCTGAACACAAACACATTTACACTCATTTCCCTCCAGCAGATTCATCCAGGACTGCAAATCCCTCTGCCATGCTGTGATGTGATTGCTGCCCCGTTTGATAAGGGAGCAGATAACAGAGATTGCTTTCACCACAGGAAAAATCCCACCCAGTGACTGGAATGCTGAACAGCAGCAACATCTGGAACTCCTGCATCCTTAACGAGACCCAGAACACAGGGCTGAAGGAGCTAATGGCGGGAGCAGCAGGAAAAGCCATGGATTCTGAGCTGTTGGAGGAGTTTCTGCCCAGCCCACAAGCACAGAGCACATGGCTCTGATGTACTCACACCAGCCAGTGGAGGTACTCGGAGTCTGCATCCCTCAAATGTCCATCTGCCAACACACAACAGGGAAAAGTGACTTAGGGCCACCCTGGTGCCAGCATCCACCCCAAAGTGAGAATGCCCAGACCTGCTCTGACCAGAGGGAACAGCTCAAGACCTCCCAGCATTTCTTCCCTAGCAGGAAAGGAACTCATTCCTATTGGACTGAGTTTAAAATGAGGAGCAAAGAACTCTGCAGATCTAATTCCAAGATTCTTGAAATCTTCTTGGGTAGCTGCATCCCTCACTGTGCCTTGGTTTTTCAGGATGAACAAAGCCACCTTCCAGGCAGACTGCCAAGGAAGAGGAGTTTGGAGGTAAATAAAGATGGGAGTCAGGAAATTGTTTCCTCTATAGCGTGACACAGGTCCTGTTGTGTCACTGTCCCTTCTCTCAAGTGCAATGGATTTGGGGAGGCTACAATCTTTCCTCCATATGTAATATGTCCCAGCCTAACAGACATAACATCGCAGAATCACAGCACAGTTTGGGCTGGAAGGGACCTTAGAGCTCATCTCATCCCACCCCCTGCCATGGACAGGGACACCTTCAGTAGACCAGGTTGCTCCAACTTGGCCTTGAACCCTTCCAGTGTTCATTATCTCTGTGCAGCCAAAATAATCAGGAGTTAACCAAAAGCTGAGTGAAACAACCCAGTTTAAACATGTTCCTTTAAAGAACCTGCTGCTCACCTGGATTTGTGAGCAACAGGGTCCAGAGGGAGCCTCTGTCTGCCTCATATGACACTTCAGGGGGACTGGAAGCCTAAAAGAGCAACATAAAGAGACTGTAAATCACTCACACAACAGCTTCCATTAACTGTGTCTGGGCAAGGCTTGGATACAACACAGACTGGGCACTGCCAGGCCACTGAGGAATCCACCTGGAGAGCCCCAGGGCATAAATAACCATCAGCCTCCTGCCACACCACCTACAATCTCTGTCCCTATCACAACCATGAAATATTTTCCTTCAGTACAGAAGAAACACCCTTGTAAAAGGCATCCCCTAGAATGAACCATGCCAGTGGAAGCACCTGACACAAAGAGGCTTCCCAGGGGCTCCAAGTCGTTCCCAGCTCCCCTCTCGCACCTCTGATGGAGTCACCATGTTCCCGTAGTAGACTGGCACGAGGTGCTCGTCCTCCTGGCTGTACTGCACCCTCAGGGCCACCCAGGGGGTGAAGGTGGCCCCCTTGAACAGGTCCCGGAACACCCCGCAGTGCTTGGCCACACGCTGCTTGTGAAATGGGCCACTCGTCCTCTCCCACTCAGCCCTGACCTCGTCCAGGGGAATGAGCACTGCAAGGAGAGAGGGAGGATGCAGAGGCAGCAGCTGGACACGCAGAGCAGCTGGAGCAGGGAGGGAGGTGCTGAGGCACTGACCAGTGCGGAGCCGCGCCGCTCGTTCCATCTCAGCATTCTGGCGATTCTCCCTCAGGATCCTCTTTCTTTCCTTGAGCTCCTTTGCCCGTGGTGGCTTCTCACGTGGCAGGCCAATGTCTGTCTCGGGCTCTTCAGAGAAGGGTGAAAAGAGAGGAGGTGAAACATGTGAGCACCAAAACCACCCAAACACAAACCCCTGTGAAATGTCTGAGTGTGAGACAAAGACTTCCAGAGATCAGGATCACAGAGGTGTTTTGGTTGGGAGAGGCGTTGAAGACCATCCACTTCCAACCCAGCCATGGACAAGGACACCTCCCACTAGAAAAGACCTGAAGGGACAATCAGGCCTTGATTCTGTCCCCTCTGCACCTCCTTCCCCAGCTCATGGCCCTTGCATTCCCAGCTGTGTTATCTGCTGCACGCCTGAAGCTCTGGCTCTGTGTCTGCTCTCCATGGCACCAGCAGGGCTCCAAGGAATCACTTCTTTGCTCCGTGTCTTTTGGCAGGTCCTGGCCAGCCTCCCTCCCCCTGGAAAACCACTTTTCCCTGGAGATATCTGCACATGGGACAGGCTGAACCTGTGCCAGAGCCCCTGGGGTTTGGGGACACAGCTGGGTACCTGCAGGGGGGTTGGTGTGCTGGCGGTAGGTGTTCCACCAGCGCGGCTCCCGGCTCGCCCGCTCCGCCTGCCGCAGGTAGCGCGTGAAGCTGCGGTACTTCTGCAGCACCTCCAGGTTCCCCACGTCCACGTCCTCGTTGGGCATGGGCCCCAGCGGGGCTGCCCTCTTCCAGAGCACGGCTGGGGGGACACACATCCCAGGGGCTCACAAGGAGAGGAAGGAGCCTGCCATGGGCAGAGCACGGACAGGGCCGGAGCCATCCCCACCTCCCACAGCCACGTTCATGGAGTCGCAGGATGGGCGAGGCTGGAAGGGACCGGAGTCACCTGATCCCACCTTTTGCTCCAGCAGGCTCATCCCATAGCACAGGACTGTGTCCAGATGGCTCTGGAATATCCCCAGGGAGGAGACTCCACACCCTCTCTGGACAATCTGTTCAGGGCTTGGGCACTGCACAGGGAAGTTCTGCCTCATGTCCAGGTGGAATTTCCTGGGCATCACTTGGTGTCCGTGGCCTCTGGTGCCATTGCTGGGCCCCTGGAGCGGAGCCTGGGCCCTGCTGTGCCCTCCCTGCAGCAGGGACACACGGGGACGAGCCCCAACACCCTCAGCCTTTCCCCAGGACACAGATGCTGCCGTCCCCAGACCATCCTGGTGGCCCTCCACAGGACCCGGAGCTCCGTGTCCCTCATCCCGAGGAGCCCAGAACTGGACACTGCTCCAGGGGAGGCCTGGCCAGGGCTGAGCAGAAGGGCAGCATCACCCCCTGACCTGCTGGAGATGCTCTCCTCACGCCCCCCGGGACAGCAGCGCCCTTCTGGTGCCCTCGGGCACAGCGCTGCTCACGGACAGCTCCTCGTGCCCCAGCACCCCCAGCTCCTTCCCCACAGAGCTGCTTCTCCAGCCTGGGCTGTTCCTCCGCAGCTGAAGGACCCTGCACTGAACTTGGGGCAGTTCCTCTCTGCCCTTCTCCCCAGCCTGCCCCGCTCCCTCTGAAGGGCTCACAGCACTCTGGGCCACCGACCCCTCTCATCCAAGCCACTGAGGAACTAATTAAACAACACTGCGCCCAGTACTGATCCCTGGGGGACATCCCTAGCCGCCCGAGAGCACCCTCCCCTTGGCCCCCTCTTTCCCCGGTGTGTTTCGGGGCTCCCCGGTTCTCTCACCGGCCGTCCCGAAGCTGCGGCCGGCGCGGGTCCCGCGGAGCGCCGCGCTCAGCAGCGCCGCCGCCATGTTGCGCGCCGCGCTGAGGGAAGGACGCCGCTGCCGTCATGAGGGCGCAGCCCTGCCTTGGGCGGGCCCACGGCCGCAGCGCTTCCCTCAGCCCGGGCTGCCCGTCCTCGCCCGGGCTCCCCGTCCCCGCCCGGGCTCCTCCCCATCCCCGCCCGGGCTCCCCGTCCCCGCCCGGGCTCCCCGTCCCCGCCCGGGCTCCCCGTCCCCGCCCGGGCTCCCCGTCCCCGCCCTGCCCCTGAGGGACCGTCCCGAACCTCCTCGGTGCCGGGAGCGGGGCGCAGCACAAAGGAAACACCCCTGTAAAAGTTCATCTCCTGGAATGAACCATGCACCTGTCACAAAGAGGCTTCCCGGGGGCTCCGAGGCTGGTGCCGGAGCTCCTGCTGCCCAAAATCCCCGGTTTGATAACCCAGACGCTCCTGCAGTGCCTTTCGCCTCACATGCTGCGAGCCCCTGGGAACACCGCCTCCCTGTAGAGCCGTCCCCAAAACGCGGCGTTTTTAGCAGTTTGTCTGTAAAAAATGCATACTTTATGATTGGCTTTTCGTAAATATTACAATGAATATTATATGTGTAATGTTAGAGAGTTATGCTGTATTCATTCTCTCAACTACTGTGTTAAATCTGGTTTTGCGTTATGTGGAAAACGCCAATCGCTTGGTTTTTGAAGTTTTTGAAGTTTAATAATAATAAAATGGTTATAAAAATAGTAATACAATTAGAGTAATAAAATTTAGAGTTAGGATAGTTACAAGACAATAAAAAGCAAAGAGTTACATACATCCAGATGCTCTCAGACACTAAGTCATGAAAAGCATAGTTTGTGAACAAAGGAATCACCCTTAAAACAATACACTGTTGCATATTCATATATTCTTCATGGTTATGCAGACATTCTATTTAAAACAAGAACTCTGTCTGTTGTATGTCAACTGTTTCCTTTAATCCCCACAGCATCTTCGAGTCTGAGCAAGGCCTGGAGAAATTAGCTTTTTCTGATAAGAAAGCCATAAACTCTTATTCTCTGGAAGATTTAGGTGTTCCTCGAAGCGAGTATCTCATTCCTAAAAAAAACCCCCTTCACATACATGGCTTCTATTTCAACATTATGTTGTAACCTAAAACTATATTTAACACACTACTTAAGAGAATTAATACAGTATAATTTTCTAACATTACACATATAATATTCATTGTAACATTTGTGAAAAGCCAATCATAAAGTATGCATTTTTCACAGGTTATGACACCATGTTAAAATAGAAACTATGCTATGTAAGATACTTTTAAACTAGCTTAAGAAAGAGATGGGATAATCAAGAAATTCTTCGCACAGAGATAACAGCGAAAGGGCACATAAAGAGTTACAGACTCCTTATCAGAAAAGAGAAACATTCTTCCACCTTCTCTCTGTCTTTATGGAACCACCAGGATTAAGGGGAAGTTGACAAAAACCAGAAAAGTTATTAATTTGCAAGGAATTTATGCATCATGTATGAGATATATGAATATGCAACAGGCTATTGCTTTTAAGGGTTATTCTTTTGTTCGCAAGGCATGGTTATGGCAGCTCAGTGTCCAAGAACATCCAGACATCTGTAATTCTTTGCTTTTTATTGTCTTGTAATTGCCCTAACTCTAAATTTTTATGACTCTAATTGTATTACTATTTTTATAACCAATTTTTTATTATTAAGCTTTAAAAAAAAATTCTAAAACCAAGCAACTGCTGTCAGCGATCCCATAGGCACAGCCCCCTCTTTTCAGGACTCTGCAGGAACAGAGTTGCTTCCAGGGCCATGGCATGGCACTGAAATTGCTCCTGTGCCACAAGAGGCTCAGCACTTGTGGCAACGGCACCATGGTGCTGCCCAAAGATGGATGAGGCTGCAGGGCAGAGTTTAAACGCTGTTTGCTGACCCTGAGACACGGCAGATCACGCCAGGTTGTGTGATTCAGGCGTTATCACCAACCACAGCAAGGTGAGACGTGCACAAAATTCTCACCAACAGCAAGGAAGGAAAGTGTTTCCCAGTGCATCAACTCCAAAAACCAATGGAAAACGACTCCTGTGAACTGAATCTGCTGCTGTCCAGCACCATGGCCAGACCTTGCTGTGGGCACTGATCAGCCTTTGCTGGTGCTGGAGCTGCAGTGACACCAATCAAACATCACAGCCAGCTCTGCCCTGTGCCAGCCATGCTTCCCCTGGGGCAGGAGCAGGCAGCTGGGGGCAGCTGGATCCCCTGGGATGGGACAGGGATTCCCACGGGATGGGCCTGGATGCCCCACAACACTGCAGAGCAAAGCCAGGGAGGTCACACCATATAAAACACCAAAATCCAACTAATTTGAGGGCTTCTGAGTACTTCATTCTACTTCTCCCATTAATTTACACAAGATCCACTGAAGGCAGTGTGTGAAAAGAAAGACATTTTGTCTGAAAACACATTTTTGTAATTTATTAGATCTGTACACAGCTAGTGCCATTCTCATTAGCATATTTTAAACCTGCTCCTCCACCCCCCCCCCCCACTGGACACAGGGAAGGCAGAGCCCTCAGCCTCCTCTGGCATCCTGAACTTCCACAGGACCTGAAACACTCAGCAGCCAAAAGGCAAGTTTGATTAGTTTATTTAAAATTAAACATTTCTTTCTGTTCAGCTACTGCACGTGGAGCCAAACCTTGTGTCTGATCACTGTTAGTGCCAGAAAACTGATTCAAAATTAGAGACTAACAGAGCCCAAAGCTGCAGAGAAGCAGATTCTCAGTTGTTGCCTCAGAACTGCAGGATTTGGGTTAATGCTGAAGGTTTTTACCATTTTAAGCTCAGACTTGCCTTTCTCTAGTGTGAAAAGGTTTTATGGTTATTGGACAGAGTTACTGGTGTGGAAAAGCAGCAATGATTTTGCTTGGTTGTAGTTGTTGCACTGATTTCCCTGGGCAGCAGGACATTCTCCTCCAAGCTGAATTCTTCTTGTTCAACCAGACAGCACCGTGCAAGGCCCAAGTCGGTATCAAAACAAAATTAAGCAAATCAGAGAAAGCTCCTTGGAAATGCATGGGTAGGAAAAATAAAAAAATATCTGGGCACTTCACTTGGGATTGTCATTTTCTTGACAAATGCCTTTAAAAAACCAAGACAACATCCCAGAAAAATCAGAAGACCTGAGGATGCTGGTCAGCTGATTTCTGCCCTACAATACTGGCTTCATCATTCCAGGTTAAATTTGCAGTTTTTACCACTACATGTTTTTTTCCCACCAAATCAACATAAGTAATGTTTGTAAAGTGCTTTGAGATAGTGCTAGAAAACGCTAAGAGTGAAAAGAGGGGCAGAACATCTGTCATCAGCACCCAGCTGATTACTACGAGTTGGTTTTATCCTCAGAGCAGCATCACTATGTTCTCCTTTGACCTCCTGTTTACCAAGAGCTGGCACAAAAGGAAATGGAGTTTGTGCAGGGCAGTGAAAGAAGGAAAACAAAGGAAACACGAGGATTTCTTCTGGAAAGATGCCTGAAGCAGAGCTCCAGAGAAGGATGGGTATTTACTTCCCAGATCCATCAGGAAAACAGTGCCACACCCAGACTCACATGCCCAGAGCTCTGCAGGAGGCTTCACACAGCACAAACATTTGCCAAATGAGGAGAGAGGTGGGGCTAATCTTAAAAAAAAACCAAAAAAACCCAAAAAAACCAAAATCAAAGACACTGATGCATTTTTTGAGGGGAGGACATAACTGCTCACCACAAGCTACTGCCTGAGGGCTGTCAACTACGTCATAGTAAAGCCCTGCCACCTTTTCCAGTTGACAGGAACTTCTCTCTAGTTAGCAGCTTCACAAAAGCAATCATTGTATAAATCCATAAAGCTTTCCCAGATTTGTAAAAGGTTAATTTTACCATTATAATTGCACTTTAAAAACAGGCATCGATCCCTATGCACTCTCCCCAAACACCTCCTCCGTTTATAAAAGAGGAAAGAAAGGCTACAATTATTCTCTGTCCTACAGCTACAGCATTCAAAGGTTTGATTTAGGTGCCTGAAAGACGGATGCAAACATCCACTTTTCAGGGCAGGGCAAGAGTGCATTTTAAAAAAACTGCAGGCTTCACAGCTTGGCTTGCATTGGCTTCAGGTGTTTATGGAAAGATTCATGAACCTGCAAGACAACAAGACAGTGGTTACAAGGTCAGGTTTGATCTTTGAAACAGTTTTACCTCCTCACATCTTGCAGTGTGTTTGTATACTAAGAAAATTTGAATCAGAGGCACTTTGGAAATTTAAGAACAGCACATAACTTCTGTATTTCAGGGTCTACATGATACGAAACATGAGAATATAAAAACCAGCC